ACTACTACTAGCCCCATCAACCTACCATGTAATGGAGATTCACAAGGGCAGACATGTTTGCAGTCCAGCCTGAGTGACAACCACGGCTCCCTCTATAGATACGGCAGAGTGAGTGTTGTCACCCTGGGACAGGAAGTGTGTAAGTGAAAATAAAGCAAAACAATCCTGAAAGCAGAAAACTAATGCAGCCGCCACATCTAAGGACTGGTAAACTACAATCTATCATTTTTGGGGGTTTAGATACACTTTAAGATGTTTTTGAGAAACCGACAGCGCCAGTTCACATTTTTCTGACCCGCTTTATGAAGTCTGACAACCCCCCCCCAGTTCTACATATAAAGGTCATACATGTATGTAAGACCGCAGAGACACTTACCCTCTTGTCACGTTGCAGAAAACTGTTTCCAGAGATGACCGGCAGGAAAACAGAAACTCTTTGTATGTGTTGTGTAGAGAAGGATTGGAATGTCGGTGTGGCGCCTCCCGGTGGTCAGGATTGGGATCTCAGGCCATAACACGCGGGGTCTCAGCTATTCGCAGCTCTCTGTAGTTCCTGAAAGAATAAACATGATGTCAGAGGACAACACAGATAGGGCCCGTGCGAGATCCAATGACCCCACGCCCAGGCCGGATCTGTCCCGCCTTGGGTGGCACTCTGCCCGTAGTCCCGGCTAAACTCAAATGCAGATAATCCCGGCGTGGCAGGCCGATAATCCCCACCGGGGAAGCACTTTGTAAAGCCCCTCAGACTTCTACTGTTACTCCGCAAGATAGAGGAGACACTGCACAGGAAATGCCGCTTCCCCTTCAAGCTGGACTCTCACATGTCTCTGCAAACAAAGTCATTACCTTGTAAAAGTTACAGTGACATCATCACCGTGCTGTACATAGCCTGTGCAGAGAGCAGGGATGTGGGAGGGGTCACCCACTACAGGAAACTACAGGAGGGGCGGAGACAAGACCACACCCTGCACATAGAGAGAGAGAGCAGCAGTGAGTGGTCTTTATTACAGCAGGGGGCGGAGACCAGACCAGCCACCCTGCACAAGGAGAGAGCAGTGGTGAGTGGTCTTTATCACAGGAGGGGGCGGAGACAAGACCAGTCACTCTGCACAAGGAGAGAGAGCAGTGGTGAGTGGTCTTTATTACAGGAGGGGGCGGAGACTAGACCAGTCACCCTGCACAAGGTGGAGCAGCAGTGAGCAGTCTTTATTACAGGAAGTTCCTCACACTGGATTACTGCACTCTCTCTCTCCTTGTGCTGGGTGACTGGTCTAGTCTCTGTCCCCTCCTGTAATGAAGACCGCTCACTGCTGCTCTCGTGTCCCCCATGTCCTCCTGGTGCCCCCCGTGTCCTCCTGGTGCCCCCCGTGTCCTCCTGCATCCTCAGATATCCCCGTGTCTGTCTAGCAATGTGTCATCATTTGATATGCTTTGTTGCGGTTCATCTTGTGTTGTCACATGTGATGTCAGGTGTCAGTGTGTGGAGAATGAAGTCACATTGTAGCCGCCCCTCCCCCCCTGACACAGTGTCATGTATATCCAGGCTCCTCTCTATACAGAACCGGGACCACCACCGCGCTGAGCCCCGGAGCAGCCGCATGGACGGTGTCACCCCGTGTCCAGGCACACAGGTATAGACACGGGGAACCCGCATGTAGAATGATGTGCCCGTGTCTGTCTGTCCCAGTGTACATATCAATACCAATCTGTCCGTCTGTCCAGTGTCAGCTCTGTGATGGTAGAGATCCATAGACTGTCTGTCTGTCCTGTACATGTCCCCATGTCTGTCTGTCCTGTACATGTCCCTATGTCTGTCTGTCCTGTACATGTCCCTATGTCTGTCTGTCCTGTACATGTCCCCATGTCTGTCTGTCCTGTACATGTCCCCATGTCTGTCTGTCCTGTACATGTCCCCATGTCTGTCTGTCCTGTACATGTCCCCATGTCTGTCTGTCCTGTACATGTCCCCATGTCTGTCTGTCCTGTACATGTCCCCATGTCTGTCTGTCCTGTACATGTCCCCATGTCTGTCTGTCCTGTACATGTCCCCATGTCTGTCTGTCCTGTACATGTCCCCATGTCTGTCTGTCCTGTACATGTCCCCATGTCTGTCTGTCCTGTACATGTCCCCATGTCTGTCTGTCCTGTACATGTCCCCATGTCTGTCTGTCCTGTACATGTCCCCATGTCTGTCTGTCCTGTACATGTCCCCATGTCTGTCTGTCCTGTACATGTCCCCATGTCTGTCTGTCCTGTACATGTCCCCATGTCTGTCTGTCCTGTACATGTCCCCATGTCTGTCTGTCCTGTACATGTCCCCATGTCTGTCTGTCCTGTACATGTCCCCATGTCTGTCTGTCCTGTACATGTCCCCATGTCTGTCTGTCCTGTACATGTCCCCATGTCTGTCTGTCCTGTACATGTCCCCATGTCTGTCTGTCCTGTACATGTCCCCATGTCTGTCTGTCCTGTACATGTCCCCATGTCTGTCTGTCCTGTACATGTCCCTATGTCTGTCTGTCCTGTACATGTCCCTATGTCTGTCTGTCCTGTATATAGTGATGTCCCTATGTCTGTCTGTCCTGTATATAGTGATGTCCCTATGTCTGTCTGTCCTGTATATAGTGATGTCCCTATGTCTGTCTGTCCTGTATATAGTGATGTCCCTATGTCTGTCTGTCCTGTATATAGTGATGTCCCTATGTCTGTCCTGTATATAGTGATGTCCCTATGTCTGTCCTGTATATAGTGATGTCCCTATGTCTGTCCTGTATATAGTGATGTCCCTATGTCTGTCCTGTATATAGTGATGTCCCTATGTCTGCCCTGTATATAGTGATGTCCCTATGTCTGTCCTGTATATAGTGATGTCCCTCTGTCTGTCTGTTCTGTATATAGTGATGTCCCTCTGTCTGTCTGTCCAGCATATATTTGATTTTGGCTGTGCCTGTCCCCTTCTGTCTGCTCATGTGATGACATCACTCTGTAGATGTTGAAGCCCCTTATGTCTGCATGTCTGGCTGCCAGCCCAATGTATGTGATGTCACGTGTCTATGCTCTTCTGTCCCATGATGTCCCCCTGTTTGTCTTGCCAAGTGATGGCGTCACACAGAGACACCCCCCCCCGTGTGTCCTGCTGTGTGGTGACGTCACCCAGGGTCCCCCATGTGTCTAGCAGTGTGCTAACGTCACCCAGAGCCCCCCTGTGTGTCCTGCCGTGTGCAAACGTCACCCAATGCCCCCCTTTATGTGTCTTGCCGTATGGTGACGTCACCCCGTGTCCCCGGTACTCACTACGCTCCTCTCGCTCTCGTAGTCTCCTCTCTCTTCTTCTCTCTTCTGGATGGTTTATCACCTCGGGTGTGACGTCACCGACAGCTGAGCAGAAAGGTCCAGAATATACCAGGCGAGCCTATCTCCAGCGTGGCCAATCAGCTGCGGGCAGTCGCTCCAAGGAGCCCGCTGATTGGGCTGTTGCTTAGAGAGGGCGGGGCGCGGACTGTTATTGCGCACACTGCGGACAGGAGCGATGTCTGGGCTGTCAGTCAGCGCTGGTCCGGTTATTAGACATTCCTCCTCCTGTGATTCACAGACAGATTATCATTCACACAATGCATTCAAATGTTGCAGGTTATCATAAAGTTACATAATGTGTTAGAAAGGATACTTAGTAGTATGGCTGACTTAAAGTGTAAATAAACCCTGATAATTAAAGGGGAAGTGATTCACTTGGGGCCCCCAGGGGTTTCTGGTCTCAGGTGGGCCCTGCAGGGTCTCTGGGGGGGGGCTGTGCTGGGTCTATGGTGGGCTGTGGGGGGGCTCAGGTGGGCTCTGCAGGGTCTTAAGTGTGCTCTGGGGGGCTGTGCCGGGTTTATGGTGGGCTCTGCAGCAGTGAGCGACAGAGTGATCAGTTCTTCGGCTGTGATGTCAGAGCCAGCATGAGCAGAGCTGAAGAGGAAGAGAATGAGACAGCGCAGGCACGGGAATGTGTTCTGGAGGTAGGTACTTTTTTGGGGGGGTGGGGCGATTTCCTAGGGGGCCATGTGAGCAGAGAACGGATGCTGACGTCCTCACGTCCATTGACTTGCATTGGACTTGAGGACACAGAGGGACACTCCACCACGAGAGCGGTGGAGGAATAGAGATGAGCAGACACCGCTGCAGGACCAAGGATCAGGCGAGTGCATCTTCTTTATTTTAGACCCTAGACCAGGGGTGGGCAACTCTGTCCCCTCCAGCTGGAACTACAAGTCCCACAAAGCATTGCAAGACTCCAGCAGCCACAGGCATGGCTCCCAGAGACACAATAGGATTTGTAGTAAAAGGAGAACTATGGGGTCAGGGCTTTTCCCCATAGTTCTCCTTAGGGTAACGGGAGGACACAAACTAGCGTCCTCCCGTCACCCTAAGCTGAGTATACCGCAAGCTACAGCTCTCTGTATACTGAGACGCCGCAGCTGAAACGGATCCCGACAATTATGTCTGGCTCTGCTCAGCTGCGTGAGTGACAGCTGGCTTTGCCTATCTAGAGGCAGAGCCAGCTGTACCCTCCCCCGTCCGTTCCGCCAGTCAGCACTGGAGGATCGGCGGGGGGAATCCGTGACAGGATCGAGAAGTGAGCGAACACCGGTATGTGTTCGCTCACCTCCCGATCTACTGAGCCGACCTGTGACAGTTTCATTGTCACAGGTCGGCTAGAACTATGAGGATGAGTGAAAATCACTCACCTCATAGTTCTCCTTTAAAGCACAGCTGGAGGGCCAGAGCTGCCCACCCCTGCCTTAGACCAATACAGGCACTTAACCCTTGCAGGGCGAGGGTTACCCCACTGCAGGGGTTCATTTTTTAAATGGCCCGACGTTCTTCTATCATTTCTGCAGTCTGTCTTCATAACACGGCCCCTTCATCCCCCTTATTGATTTTGTTGCCCTTCTCTGAACTTTCTCTAGTTGAAGGATCCGTCCTTCATGAGGATCGATGACCAAAAACCAGAATGTGATATAGAAAGATATAGAAAGAATCCTATAGACTGCTGTCCTCTGAGTGTTTTCTCATTAATGTGTACATTGTATCCAGGCTGGAATCTCAAACTCTGACCTTTGCTGAGCTGTGGCTGTAAGGTGCTCTTGGTTACTGGGGCAAAACAAATCCTGTTCCTAGACCAGATCAGGGCTTTAACTAGACTTCATATTCTTCCACTGGATACGTCTGAGCGGAGCCCAGGTATGCCAATGCAGCATTGCCCCTCCTGACCTGATTTTTACGGTCTAGTGACACTTACAAGTCTTGTCCCTCCACAAATCTGTGACTCCACAAACTCTGCTGTACAGAGACCGCAGGAGGCTGATACCAGGTCACATTCAGGTACTAGACATGTGCATTCGGATTCATACGAACCTGCAAATCAACGGGCGCTTGAACATGTGAGTGCCGCCATCATGGTGTATACCAAGATCTACTCCAAAATGGCGGCGCGCACGCGCAGAACGTGCCGGCAGCCGATATGGCCGCCGCTTGTTCTGCGGTTTCAGTGTGCAGTTTCGGATTCGGAGGCTCGTTGCCTCCGAATCCGTAACAACATAAAAATTTGTTTCCTTTGACGAAACGAATGAAAACGTTTTTCGTTTTCATTTGTTTCGTCTGGAAACAAATTTTTTTGTTGTGCACATGTCTACCCGGTACCTTCACTTCTTTCATTTACAAAAAATATATAACTGTAGTGATGTATAAATGAATGTAATTATATATGCATATGTACATATATATATATACTGTGTATATATATAGTCATGGAGGATTCTGCCCTTTCAGCGCAAAATTATAGCTAATTTACCTATAAACGTCAGGTGGTCATAATAATCTGGCCACTCAGTGTATATAGAGTCATGGAGGATTCTGCCCAGGTATATATATATATACAGTGGTACCTCGGTTCACAAACGCTTCTGTTCGCGAACAATTCGGTTCGCAAACAGGAAGTTCAGCAAAATGTTGCTTGCGTTTGCGAACTCCACATCGGGTGATGAACACAACCGCAGCCATCTTCCCTGCTCTGACACATGGTGGTGGCTTCCTCTAGTCGAGATAACGGTCTGATCACAGTTTGATTCGGTTCGCGACCAGAATCGCAGAACAAATTAAGTTCGTCAACCGAGGTACCACTGTATTCACAATGCTCTGCACAGTTCCTCATTACCCTCGCCATAGCTGGCAGAAGAAATCTTATCATTTGAATTGGATTAGTTGCTTTGAACCATACAAAGGTTTTTTGTTTTTTTTCCCATTGAGACGTGTTGTGTTTACATAAGTACGTCACATGGACAAAGTATTGGAATTTTTACCAAATTATAATAAAGTATAAAATAACCAAAACACAATAAAAGAAATACATGAAGCAATATTCATTCAGAAAAATAGACTTTATTTTAGTATTATTGTGCAGTAATTTAATACTCTTCTCCCTCCTCTCCTTCACCTTCTCCCTCAACGCTGTCAGTGCCAACCTCTTCATAATCCTTCTCCAGGGCGGCCATGTCCTCACGAGCCTCGGAGAACTCTCCTTCCTCCATACCCTCACCCACGTACCAGTGCACAAAGGCACGCTTGGCATACATCAGATCGAACTTGTGGTCCAGGCGAGCCCAGGCCTCAGCAATGGCTGTGGTGTTGCTCAACATGCACACGGCACGCTGCACCTTGGCCAGATCTCCACCGGGAACCACAGTTGGTGGCTGGTAGTTGATACCAACCTTGAACCCGGTTGGGCACCAGTCCACAAACTGGATGGTGCGCTTGGTCTTGATGGTGGCGATAGCAGCATTGACATCTTTGGGCACCACATCCCCACGGTACAGCAGGCAGCAAGCCATGTATTTGCCGTGTCTGGGGTCACATTTCACCATCTGGTTGGCTGGCTCAAAGCAAGCATTGGTGATCTCAGATACAGAGAGCTGCTCATGGTAAGCTTTCTCTGCAGAGATGACAGGGGCATAGGTGGCTAGGGGGAAGTGGATACGGGGGTAGGGCACCAGGTTGGTCTGGAATTCAGTCAAGTCCACGTTCAGAGCTCCATCAAACCTGAGGGAAGCGGTGATGGAGGACACGATCTGGCCAATCAGACGGTTCAGGTTGGTGTAGGTTGGACGTTCGATGTCCAAGTTTCTGCGGCAGATGTCATAAATGGCCTCATTGTCCACCATGAAAGCACAGTCTGAGTGCTCTAGTGTGGTGTGGGTGGTGAGGATGGCGTTATAGGGCTCAACCACAGCTGTGGAGATCTGAGGAGCTGGGTAGATGGCGAACTCCAGCTTGGACTTCTTGCCGTAGTCAACAGACAGACGTTCCATCAGGAGAGAGGTGAAACCAGAGCCAGTGCCTCCACCAAAACTGTGGAAGATGAGGAATCCCTGGAGGCCGGTGCACTGGTCAGCCTGAGAAAGAAGACACACAGATTTTAGATAACTACCATGCAGCTTCAATAACATTGTGCCCACGTGCTGATGCCTTCTAAAGTTTTTTAGAGACTCCAACTACAGGATTTCCTTCACCGCCGCTCCACTGAAACTATTCTGAGAGCAAATTAAGACCATGTGTTCTCTTCTGGATTCTACAATTAATAATTAGAAAATGTAACAAGCATAGACTAAAGCTGGCCATTCATGTTAAGATATTGATTGGTACTTTTGGACCTAACTCAAAAGAATGTTGAAGATCGGCTCATCTGTTACGATGTTGTTGCTGAAGCTTTTGAAACTGACCAATCAAACTCTTACTCTGCATGGCTAGCTTAACAATGACCTCATTAGTATGGAGATGAGAACAATTTCAGGAACAGCTTGCCTCCGTAATCCTGAAGGAAAATAAGAAAACGTCAAGTGTTCCAACCTGCTGGCATCCATCCCAGATATGAGCACAGTATCTGGAACTGGTGGGATGTTGTGCTGGGTCTACACTGTACTGCCTCACTCAACTCACCAGTTTGCGGATCCTGTCCAGCACCAGGTCAATGACCTCCTTGCCGATGGTGTAGTGACCTCGGGCATAGTTGTTGGCGGCGTCCTCCTTGCCGGTGATGAGTTGCTCAGGGTGGAAGAGTTGCCGGTAGGTTCCGGTCCTCACCTCATCTGTAGAGATATAACAATAATGGTTGGCATCCAAACTGGAGACATTTTGGGGACACTTCCTAGTTTCTGATGAACTCTGAAGCATCCCTCAGTCCTAGACCACCATCACCAATCTACTCACCAATCACGGTGGGTTCCAGGTCCACAAAGACAGCTCGGGGGACGTGTTTTCCAGCCCCGGTCTCACTGAAGAAGGTGTTGAAGGAATCGTCTCCTCCACCGATGGTTTTGTCACTGGGCATCTGTCCGTCCGGCTGGATGCCGTGTTCCAGGCAGTACAACTCCCAGCAGGCATTGCCGATCTGCACTCCGGCCTGGCCAACGTGGACTGAGATGCATTCCCTCTGTGTGGGGGAAGCAGTAAAGCTTTTGTTAGATAGCAGTGAGTGGCATGCAATGAAAATTATATACAATATAGATAAAACAGATGCTTATCAAACATATATTCCAATCTGTACTTGGAAATAGGATCTGCACGAGTGTAGAATGTATAACATTATATGGAGGGGTGGGGGGGGGGCGCCGGCCGCCGGGCAGCGACAAGCGTGCTGGCCGGGAGGAAAACAATATTGGAACAGGCTATATAGAAGGTATTGAAGAAGCCAGTCACACACAATATAAAAGTGCTTCACTATAATACACAAATGTTAAAGAAGAACTCCAGGACTTAATACAATGAACACTTAGCATTGCGGCTACCCCAGAACTGCAAGGATTAAGTGCTCATTTTGGTCTGGGTGCAAAAATAAAGCAGCTATGCTCACCTGATCCTCGGTCCCGGAGAAGTGACCCCTCACCTCTTTCGCCTCTCTGCTCTGGTGATGGTTTGTCCCTCTGCATCCTCACATGTAATGAGCTGAGGAGCCCAGTGGAAAAGAGGCTCTGGGGACCGGTCCAGCAGACACGTGGAACTGGGGATCAGGTGAGTATATCTGCTTTATTTTCGCCCCTAAACCGAAGCGAGCGCTTAACCCTTGCAGTGCCGGGGTAGCCCCGCTGCAAGGGTTCGTTTTAATAAATCCTGGAGTTCTTAGTAGAAAGTAAGGGGTTCATTTATAAAAGTTCACAGTTCGCAGGGCCCTGGTGCCCCACAATACGAGTATAGGAGAGGAAGTTTTATAAACGTACCCCTATAAGAACCGGGTTCGGATTCAGTCGGGTTCAGATAAGTGTTACAATGTGATACAAAATCCTGTTTTAAAAATAATCTTTATCTGCAGTCTCCAGGCACAGAGTGCGGTCATACACAGGGATATATAGAATCGCAGAGTGCGGTCATACATCAGGGGTATATGGAATCGCAGAGTGCGGTCATACACAGGAGTATATGGAATAGCAGAGTGCGGTCACACACAGGAATATATAGAATTGCAGAGTGTGGTCACACACAGGGGTATATGGAATCGCAGAGTGCGGTCACACACAGGGATATATAGAATCGCAGAGTGCGGTCACACAGGGATATATAGAATCGCAGAGTGCGGTCATACACAGGGGTATATGGAATCGCAGAGTGCGATCACACACAGGGATATTTAGAACCGCAGAGTGCGGTCATACACAGGGATATATAGAATCGCAGAGTGCGGTCATACACATGGGGTATATAGAATTGCATAGTGCGGTCACACACAGGGATATATAGAATCGCAGATTGCGGTCATACACAGGGATATATAGAATCGCAGAGTGCGGTCACACACAGGGATATACAGAATCGCAGAGTGCGGTCATACACAGGGATATATAGAATCGCAAAGTGTGGTCACACAGGGATATATAGAATCGCAGAGTGCGGTCACACACACAGGGATAATGGCACAGTGCGGTCACACACACAGGGATGTATGGAATATAGATTCTCACCATGATGCTGAATAAAGTAAAGATCTCCGGGTTCCAATGTGTTATGTGTTCGGGAAGGAGCGGTCGCTGTCCCCTCTCTCTCCTCTCCTCCTTATATATAGGAGGCAGTGACAGCAGAGTCCTTAGTAACAGGAGGGAGGTGGAGGGAGCACGGGGGCCGGTGACACTATACAACACAATCCTGCCTGGGAGCGGCTCCGCAATACACAACACAACTGTAACCTAGCAGTGAATGGTCACCATGAGGAGTAACATGCCTCTAGGAGGACACCAATCAGTAAGCTATTTACATCCAAAAGCAACCAGAGCTCGTATTCATAGCAATACACTCGCAATCCAATGTTGTACAGCCATATACACTTATGAGAATATCAGAAAGGTATAAATAAAGATGGCTTCGTTGAAGATGGAGAGAGTGCTTTAAGGATGGCGTCCTCCGAATTGCTCAGTGCTTTTCACAATACATTGATAGGGGGCTTCTTCAGGAGTTAGGCAGTTCACTCCTAGAGTAAAAATTGAAACAAACTAGGGATGCACCGATACCATCTTTTCGGTATTGAGTACGAGTACCAATTTTTTTTTCTCTTGTATGCGCCGATACCGAATACCGATACCGGAAGTCCCATTAGGGAAGTAATGTGTGTAATGACTCGCCGCCCGGCTTCCTGATTAGCCGTAAAGCCGGCTGCATGCATCTTCGTCACCAGATGACGAGGAAGCATGGAGCCGGCTTTCTGGCCAATCAGGAAGCCGGGCGGCGTGTAATGACTCGCTGCCCGGCTTCCTGATACCGAAAGTTCTGGTATCGGTATAAGCATGTTCTGGTATCGGCACCCTAAAAATACCAATGTAATATACACTATATTGCTAAAAGTATTGGGACACCCCTCCAAATCATTGGATTCAGGTGTTGCAATCACCTCCATGGTCACAGGTGTATAGGATGAGGCACCTCGGCATGCAGACGCTTCTACAAACATTTGTGAAAGAATGGGTCGCTCTCAGGAGCTCAGTGACTACAAGCGTGGCACCGTGATAGGTTGTCACCTGTGCAATAAGTCCATCCGTGTTCTCTAGAGTCCATCACCAAGTGCAATGCAAAGCGTGGGATGCCATGTTGTAAAGCACGCCGCCACTGGACTCTAGAGAAGTGGAGACGTGTTCTCTGGAGTGACCAATCACGCTTCTCTGTCTGGCGATCCGATGGACGTGTCTGGGTTTGGCGGTTGCCAGGAGAACGGTACTTGCCTCACTGCATTGTGCCAAGTGTAAAGTTTGGTGGAGGGGGGATTATAGTGAGGGGTTGTATTTCAGGGGTTGGGCTTGGCCCCTTAGTTCCAGTGAAGGGAACTCTTAAGGCATCAGCATACCAAGACATTTTGGACAATTTCATCCTCCCAACATTGTGGGAACAGTTTGGGGACCGCCCCTTCCTGTTCCAACATGACTGCGCACCAGTGCACAGAGCAAGGTCCATAAAGACATTGATGGGGCAGTTTGGGGTGGAGGAACGTGACTGGCCTGCACAGAGTTCTGACCTCAACCCCATAGAACACCTTTGGGATGAATTAGAGCGGAGACTGCGAGCCCGGCCTTCTCCTCCAACATCAGTACCTGACCTCACAAATGATCCAACATTCCCATAGACACACTCCTAAACCTTGTGGACGGGTTGAAGCTGTTATAGCGGCAAAGGGCGGAGCCAACTCAATATTGAACCCTATGGTCTAAGACTAGGATGCCATTAAAGTTCATGTGCGTGTAAAGGCCGGCGTCACAATACTTTTGGCAATATAGTTTATCTTTACAGTATCACGGGGAAACAATATAAACAATACATTCCACAAAAACATAATCAAACTAATGTAATAGATGCCAGTAGTTATCCAGCGATCTGTGACATGCAAATAAAATACACATAACTACTCTCATTTGAATATATTAAATATGAGATCGGCAAATGCCTTCGCAGTATATATGAGTAAAGAGGATTACCATGGCCTCATTAATAACTAAATGTACTTTTATAAGAACTCAACATGTGTGGAAGTCCTATGTAAAAAGTGTGGGTAAGTATGTAAAAAGTTTGTACAACATTATAGCTGTAGTCGTTACATGTTGTGACACATTCGTTTTTAATGAAGAAAATGAATAAAAGAAAAAATAATTTATATATTTACTTTGTTTATTTTGTGTGCACCTTAAAAGCCCTATAATAGGGATTTGTGGTAGATTCTTGATATGAGGGTGTGCTGCTGCCTCACAATCCGTGAACACCTTTCTAATACGTATTGCTAACAACTGTAACCAAAGACAAAAAGTGACCCCGGGGCAGAGAGGGAGGACAGAAGGAGGGAAGAGGGGACACAAGGAGGGAAGAGAGGACACAAGGAGGGAAGAGGGGACACAAGGACGGAAGAGAGGACACAAGGAGGGAAGAGAGGACACAAGGAGGGAAGAGAGGACACAAGGAGGGAAGAGGGGACACAAGGAGGGAAGAGAGGACACAAGGAGGAAAGAGAGGACACAAGGAGGGAAGAGAGGACACAGGGAGGGAAGAGAGGACACAAGGAGGGAAGAGAGAACACAAGGAGGAGGGAAGAGAGGACACAAGGAGGGAAGAGGGGACACAAGGAGGGAAGAGAGGACAGAAGGAGGGAAGAGAGGACACAAGAGAGGACACAAGGAGGGAAGAGAGGACAGAAGGAGGGAAGAGAGGACACAGGGAGGGAAGAGAGGACAGAAGGAGGGAAGAGAGGACACATCATTCTACAAGATTTTACATCAGAGAGAGGAAATAAAATCATGACTGTTACTTTGTAACAATTTATAAAAACTGTTATTCTAAAAACTTCTAAAGTTGTCTCTTCTGGCTCTGTGACACAATGTGATCTGGATTGTAAACTCTTTTTTAAAGGAGAATTATTTCACTCAGCCTCATAATCTGAGCCGACCTGTGACAATGAAACTGTCACAGGTTGGCTCAGTAGATCGGGAAGTGAGCGAACACATAGCGGCGCTCGCTCACTTCTCGATCTATCCGTGCAGAGAGCCGCGACAGGAGAGGGACTGAATTCCCCCCTCCCCTGTCCGATCCTCCGGCGCTGACTGGTGGAATGGACGGTGGAGGGGGCGGGTACAGCTGGCTCTGTGTCTAGATAGGCTGCGGCGTCTCAGTATACCGCAAGCTGTAGCTAGTTTGTGTCCTCCCATTACCCTTAGGAGAACTATGGGGAAAAGCCCTAACCCCATAGTTCTCCTTTAAGATTTATACACATTGGGGGGATTTATCAAAATTGGAGCAGACAAAAACAGGTGCAGCTGTGCATGGCAACGAATCAGCTTCTCTCTTCAGTTTGTTCAGTAAAGATTTGAAAATTAAAAAGAGATACTGATTGGTTGCCATGCACAGCTGCTCCAGTTTTTGTCTGTTCCAGTTTTGATAAATTCCCTTCATTGTGTGTTAGTTTTATTCATAATTCCAAATATATAATCGCATTCTAGAGTATTTTTAGTTGATGGTTTCACAGACCCTTTTGGTTATTTTCTTCAGTCCAAATTAAAACCGGATTTCTATTTAGAATGGCAATTGTTTTTGTTTTGCAATAAATTTTAATTTGATTTTTTTTAATGTTCTTCTAAAAGAGAGAATAAAAAATAGATAACACACAATTATAATGACATGATACCATGGACATTAATGAGACATTTTCTAGTTCCCATTATTTTCTTTTTGATTTGCCCTTAAAAAAGTGGCCTATAAATGGCCGCACACAGCTTGAAGTGGATGGGACACTTTCTATGTACAGTAAATAGTCATTTGGTCATCATGTGGAGCCTTTATCATGGGCTGACCATGCTGTGACTGGAGATGACTTTTCTAAACTATTATCTAATCCATTGATTGGGGCCCACCAGACGTATGCGCATTGATTTGCTCATGAACAGCAATGGGACTTTAATCACCATGACAGTGAAATCGAAGAGAGGCAAGTAGGGAGTATTCTTTTCCCCTTTTGCTAGTTTTCTTTCTGTCCAAATTAAAATCGGATCTCTGTTTAAAATAGTAATTGTTCGTAGTATAAATGAAGTCAATACTATGAATGAGATGATGAGGATGGAGGAGATTCTGGCTATAAAAACTGACAAATATGACAATTTATATACTTTATGAGCAGTTTGGGAAGAAGAGAAGGGAGAAGGAAGGAAGGAGGAGAAGGGAGCAGTGAGTAGGTGAGTGCTGTGTATTGGTGGAGACACACACAGCTTACTAGCACACACAAGGGTGGCTCCATAGGACCACCCTAAAACAGGATATCAGGGCCAGTCCTCAGGAGAGCAGCTGATTCTGCAGCAAACTAAAACTTTTAAACATCAAGGAGCATCATGTTATACAGGTGGAACTCAAATAATTAGAATATCGTGCAAAAGTAATGGCAGTAAGTGCTGCAAAAGGGGCCCAAACCAAGTACTGAGTACATATGCATGCTTGTACTTTTCAGAGGTCTGATATTGTTCTATGTACAATCCTTGTTTTATTGATTGCATGTAATAATCTACTTTTTTGAGGTTGTGGATTTGGGGTTCTTGGGGTTTTCATGAGCTGTAAGCCATAATCATCACAAATTATGACAAATCACGGCTTGAATTATCTTGCTTTGCGTGTAATGAGTCTATCTCATATATTAGTTTCACCTTTTAAGTTGCATTAGTGAAATAAATGAACTTTGCACGATATTCTAATTATTCGAGTTTCACCTGTATATAGAACCAATGTTTTTTTTCTTTTAGTCTCAGATAGAGTAAGGAAGGATTAGAACCCCTGCCAGATTTTTATTGCTGTGTGTCCTAACTAGGTGGATTCAGTGGTGTCACAAGGGGGGTTCATTGGAGTGTCACCCCCTCTGAAAAGTCGGGCACTCGGTCATGACCGACAGTTTCGAGCGAGAGGAGGGGACCCGGCGGCATATCTTATCCGCCGGGTGATTTTCCCTTCCTGTGTCAGGGCCGCCCAAAACGTAATTCGCCGCCAGGAAAGGGGGGGGCATCTTGGTGATGGACGCTGGCAGGTATCAATAAGATCGCCGCGCATGCGCGATGACATCACGACAGGGTGTCACCTGGTAACCGCTCCGGGTGACACCCAGCCCTGGGACACCCCTGGGTAGATTTACTTGTATTTTGTCCTGTTGTCCAGAAAGGGAGTTGTCACCAGCACAGAAGGTGTGCGGGACTCTCTCAATAGGGGACAACTCTTCCAGTGACAATTGTATAAAAAGGGCATTTCCTCTCAATTTCTGGAGACTTCCTGTTGAGTCTCCAGGACATGAAGTGAAGGGAAATCTCCTCAAAAAGAGATGTAAAAAAAGTGAAAAAAGTTTTGGCCATGCATACACTTTAATTATCAGGTTACCGCCTCAGGCTGCTTCATTATGGGGATGCCCCCGGCTGGCACAAGTATGGCCTAGCAGCACCCTGACAATATGGGGTATAATGGGCAGGTTGTAAATCATACTGGGCATTGCTGTTGGCAAAATTGGCCCATGTGGTAATGTGATGTGTTGTAAGCAACAGTGACGCAGCTGGTGGTTTTATTATTATTACATCAGGGCACCCATAGGTGTGAGATGACAGCCATCGGCTTTGGCTGCTTCTGGCTAGACCGAGCAACAATCTCTATGAATGGGCCCAATCTCCTCCAACCAATTGGGATAAAATGTTAAAATTGTCTTACCCTGAGTCAGCATTGTTTTCCTGCTGCTCTGCCCCTTGCTTATTGCGCATACTAGGGTCTTCCAATGGTAACTAAAGGATGATTACACACTCAGGAACCATAGTGAGTGTATGAGCTTGGAAAGATTAAAGAGACCCTGCCAGTTCCCTAACAAATCCAAATGGTTCCTCATCTCTTCTCATAGACCCCAGGGCTGAGGTTGTGTTTCCG